CCTGCCGCCAGCGCCCTCCCGGTCGGTCGCGGTGAGCTAGGGGGCAGTTTGAGATCCTAGAGGTGACCAGGGGGCGGGGCACGGCTGTGGTCCTAGCTCAGGCCGCCCCGCCTTCCGCGTCCTACTGCGCACTACTGGAGGGTCGGCTGCTCCCTGCGTGCATCCCCAGCTCAAACGACAAACACACTTTTTGAGCACAAGATGCCCGCGGTAGCTGGCCGCAGTGTTTCGGCCCTGGCCTGGCAGAGAGTATGCAAGCGTTTTCTTCTCATGTTCCCTATCTGGGACACTGAGGCACAATGCAGGCACAGATGAAGCTGATCCCTCCTAACAGCCCTAGTCTACTTCTGCCCTGCCTAGACACCCCCTAGGTCTCTCTGGATACATCCCAGAATCCTACCTCTCTTCCCCTCCCTTCTTTCCTGGGCCTCACTCCTCTGTGGCCCGGCTCCCAGCTTCTCATCCAACCACAGCTATTTCCAGGAAGGAGGGGTGTGTGGGTGGGTGGAGGGGTTTCTCCAAACAAACCCAAGGCTTCAGAGTAAGAGGGGGCCCTGCTGGGGGGAAGAAAAAAAAAAGCTCTGGAATATTCCAGGCAGGAGGTGGGAAGCGAAGATCTACGGGATCTGGTAACGCCACCTCAGCCAGCCTTCAGGATCCTTCCAGAAGTACTTCACTCCCCGTGGTGGGGACACTCATAGCTCTTGACCAGCCAATTGCAGTCATTTGAATGGACACTTTTCTAGGTCTGTGCGGGCAGGCAGTGAAAGTTCAATGTGGCCAGAGGATGTCTGGGGACTTTTCACAGAGGAGGGGACTTTCAGTCCCACAAGGAGACAGCAGAAGTAAGGCTATGTGCCATAGATGCAGAGGGAAAACACTGGATGGGGGGAGCCACACTCACACAGGCCCTACAGTGACCCATCTCCCCCAGCAGGGCTGGGTGCTGAATCAGGCCAGGCCCAGTTGCCCACCTGGCCATTGGCCTGGAATGTCCTGGGACACAGCCAGGACTTGGGTAGGGATTACAGAGCCAGTGGCCCTCTCCAGTTACAGTATGGGGGGCCACACCTTGCCACTCAGGTGCCACCCTCTAGCCAGGGTACACAGGTGACAGGCTTCCTAGAGAATTGGAGCATGCAGGAAGAAGGCTCAGGCTTCCCAGTCTGATGGTCTTTCTAAGGTGAACCAGGGAGGAGTAGAGCAGCCCTTCACCTGGATGAACAGGAGGCAGAGGAGGGAACTCCTGTGGAACCCTGTGAATGTAGCCAGAACCGGAGGAGTTGCACTGGGACATTCAGTAAATACCATGCAAATGAGGACGACAAGATTGTACATTCTTTCAAGTGACAGCTACAGCATTCCAAAGGCTGCTGTCCAGGGCTTGAGCCGAGAACCCCCAGGCCATTGACCCTTGTTTTAGGAAGATTGTTCTATCGTTTCCAAGGCCCTATCCACCTCCTTCCTTGACTCCTGGGACAGGAAGTTGGCCCTATTCCCAGGAGGGAAGCAGGAGGCCCTAGAGGGGGTGGAGAATGTGTTGGGAGGGGGCCTCCTGTCCAGTCCTCAGGTCCAGTGACAGCCACAGATGAAGAAGAGCCAGGCCCAGAAGAGCCATGAAGGTAGTGCTCAGGTTTGAATGGGTGGGTGGGTGGGGTCCCAGAAAAAGGGGGACAAAGCCAGGAACTGTGGGTTTTATCTGGAGCACAGTAGCTGGGGTCTTCAGGTGGAACCTTTCCAGGGCCCTGGGTTGCTCTGGACCACTCACTACTGTGGGCAGCTGGGCTTCTGGCTGGTGCTTGGCCTTGAGGAGGGTACTGCATGAACTTCCCCATCTGACAAGGAAGCTGGCCCTCATTCCTACTTCTTTCACCCTAAGTAGTCTGAGTCCTAGCCTGCCAGGGGTACTGGTTCCCAGCTCCACTCCCTTCCCACAGGAAGTCCCAAGGGAACTTAAGAGTCCAGGCTAGAGACTGGCTGGGGACACAGTGTTCTTCTCTGGCCCTCAAGCCCAGCCCTGAGACCTGAATTCCCACCCTGCCCCACTGACTGATTCCAGGGCTGGATCTCAAGACCACAGACCCCTACACAGGGTGGCCCACCGGGTGAGAGGCAGCTCCAGAGGAGAAGGGGAGAGCCAAAGATCTTGGGCTGACACTCCCAGCAGGGGTAGATCCTGGGAATCTGATCTCCTGGCCTCCCCCACATCCTCCCCCACCCCACTTCCTGGAGCAGCGACCTGCCCCCTTCCCGCCTGCACTTCCCTTCACTTCCAGGGCCAGGCTTCTCCACACACCAGCCAGACAGCCTCCCCTCCACCCAAGGGAAGCGGCTGCCTCGGCCAGGCTGCTTCCAGGAAGCCCCAGGCCAGGCCCCAGCATTGTTCAGGCCCTGCAGCCAAGACCCAGCCAGCCAGACACCATGAAGTCCAGCGGCCCTATGGAAAGGTTGCTCAGAGCCCTGGGGAGGGACAGCAGCCGGGCCACCAGCAGGGTAGGAGTGCCCACCAGCTGGGCAAAGGTGGGGCAGGGTGGAGGTGTGGACAAGGGGGGAGGGCCAGGATTCAGGCCAGACCCTCTTGCTAATTTCAGCCTCTTCTCCTGCTCCTTACCTTGCCTCAGTATTCCCCTCATTCCCCTGCCCCCCTGAGGTGGCCAGGGTGGCAGTATGATCCTGCCATCTGTTTGGACTTCTCTGCCTTTCCTTGCTTGAGCCTGAATAAGCCCTGGGAGTTCAGCAAAGAGCTTAAGCCCTGACCTCCCAGGGAAGCTTGAGAGAAAAGGGATGGGAAAAAAGCTATGAAAGGTAGGGAGGAGGCCAGGTCTCCAGGCACTGTGACTGGGAGGATGCCTTCCACTGACGTCATCTGCACATGATGTTATCAACAAGTATGTCCAAGTATCCTAGTGGGTCCCACCTCCAGTCCAGAAGAGGTCTGGAACACTCAAGGGACCAAAGCTGTTCCTCCCCCTTGCCTTTCGAAGGTGTTAACACTGTGGTGGGCAGATCCAGGGAGAGGGGACAGCAGGAGCTGGTATACAGATGAAGAGTGTGGAGGGACTGTCCACAGACTTGGGGTGGGAGGCACGGCCTGCAATGGGAGGGACTGAAGTAGGACCTGGGCAACTGGAAGCACCCCAGCTGCTAGCTTCACTGTCGCTGGATGGGGAGGGGACACACAGAGGCAGCAAGGCAGCTGCTTGTCTGTCCCCGCTGTCATTCCTCCTTCCAACATTGCCACCCCCTTCTTATACAACTGCTGCTTGCAGCCTCAATGCACAAAGAGTAAACACGTTGTTCTGACCCTGAGGGAGGGGGGCATGTCAGCTGCCTGGAGCTTGGAGACATTGAGAGCCAGGGGCTCAGGACTGGCTACAGCCAGTCTGGGTGTTATGTGACAATGTGCATGTGTGTCTGGGCCATCAGCTCATGTATACAAACCTCATCTGGGGAGGGCAAGATGGAAAGAGTCAGACCCCCACTCTGCCAAGATTTGGAAACCCCTCACATTTGAAGTGGCAGTGACAAGGACATCACATAGCAGGGCCACGTGAGGGGACCTAAGTGATCCCTTAGGGAGGAGTTGACCCAGCCAAGGTGATGCAAGGGGTCACATTCCAAGTCCTGTAGAGGACAGGCCCCATGACTACCCCGAGACAGCTGTGGCCAAGTGTGCCTGGGAGTTCAGAGGCTTTGAACTAGAAGGGAGGGAAGCAGCAGCGTCTATCCAAGGCAAGGTTTCCAATTCAGCCTCAGAGATGGGTCCACTAGGAACTCATACCTCTATCTATCTGTCATCCCACCCGCAGCCTAGGAAAGCAGAACCACACAGCTTCCGGGAGAAGGTTTTCCGGAAGAAAGCTCCGGTGTGTGCAGTGTGTAAAGTGACCATCGATGGGACCGGTGTCTCCTGCCGAGGTGAGGTGCTCTTCCTGCGTATCCAGAGCCCTCCACTCAACACCACTGTGCTGGGTGGCTCTAGGAACAGGCAGGCTTACAGAGCAGGGACAAATGCCCTCACTTGCATGACACCCACCTTGCCACAGCCCAGTAGATCTGTGACTCTGCCACCTTCCCATCCTCACCTGTGACTAGAGGCTGCCCTTCCTCCTTGCCTCCATTCATCCTAGACCTCTGGCCTGAATCCCAGACTCTGGAGCAGAACCTGCTGGTACCCTGCCCTGCTCACTGCTCCAGCAATCTAGTGTTAAGTCCCAGGGTTGACTTTCAGGGCCTGGGGAAGTGGAGGGTGCCCACTTTCACTGCCCTCTAAGCTTCTGCTGTTCTCCCCTCCTTCTCTAGTCTGCAAGGTGGCCACACACAGAAAATGCGAAGCAAAGGTGGGTACCTGGTCCTAGCTGATGGGGGATGGAGTCTTTTCACTGCCCAGACACGCTTTTTCAGCCATACTGGCATGTTTCTTCCACCCAGTCCCCTGCCATTCCTGGAGACCCCTCCTGGGTGGCAGGGGTGTTGTGCCGGGCCCTTTAAGAACTACTCTACTCCACCCCTGGAGGGTTGGCCCAGGAGGGTGGACAGTGAGTCGGCGGCGGCGGCGTTTGTCTTGGTGCTGTGCCCAGGCTGCAGCTGGCGAGAGGATGGGGGGGTGGAGAAGCAGGAGGAGGAAGGGTGGGGTGGACAGAGAGGGAGCAGGGTTTCAGAGACCAGGCACTGGAATAGGCTGTACCTTCCCTCTGGGGAAGGGTCCTCAGGATGCCCAAGTTGGTCTTAACCTGGGTGCTGGAAGGGCTGGACCTCTACAGGTACATGGTGTAGGTGGCACCCACTGTCTACTGAGAACCTGAAACAGCCCCATCCCTGAGGAATGCTCCTGGTTCCTCCTTCAGTGCAGGGGGTAGTCCCAGGGCCTCAAGCTAGCTTGGGGGAGCTATGTGCCCATGGGTGGGGTCTCAACGGTGAAAGAGGCTAGTGTCCACCCCTGGCCATTGCCTGCCTGCCCGCCCCTATATATAACTCCTGTCCTGCAGCTGGATGAATGGGGGTCTGTTTGGGCAGGGGCTGAGAGCCAAAAGCAACAAGCAGGGGGCCTGAGAGGTGGGGGACCAGGAGGCCAGAAGCAAGGCTTCCCTTAAATAGAGGAATAGAGGAACCTCAGCTGGAGCCTGTACTCATCAGTTGACAGCCCCTCCACGTTATCTTTCACCAGCTCAGTCACTCATCTCCTTCCAGGTGACTTCATCCTGTCAGGCCTTGCCCCCCGCGGAGCTGGTGAGTGCTCTAGGATGGGGCAGGGAAGATAGTAACCTGACTAGTGTCCAGAGGTCTGGTGGTCTCAGAGTGGGGGCGCCAGGAGGTTACCTAAAACTGAA